ATAGTCTTATAACAACGCCATGTAATATTTCTCAATATTTTTCAGGATGTTTAAAGAAAGCGATAATGGGCTGGGAGGTTGTAATAGCGGGCCATCTCGTCCTCGGAGGATATTTCCCCGATTTTCCTTGCGAAGATTATTGTATTCCAGCCCGCTCATTGGCCGACGTATCACAAGAACACCTAGCGCAAGTAATAGAAATGCAAAAGGTAATTTCTGGATTCTATTGAGCTGCAATGATAATTGAAAATGAACTTAATTTTGCAAGATTGAAAGTATTTTTTGCGTAGCTAAAGATCAATCAAGCAAGATGACGGACGTCGAAAAAGGAGAGGCCAGAGTAAGCAATGGTTCAAGCCATTTTCAATTTCACAATATAGATCTACAACGTGCTTCCAGCAAAGGCTCTGTACTTTCATCTGCAGGAAAGGTATTAGCAAGATCATATCCATATATACTTTTTTGGAAGTATTCAAAAAGTATTTCAATAGATTTATCCGTTGATGAACCGTTATTGTAAAACTTTTTTTATATGATATGTTATTTCAGAGTAATGAGAATGGGCTAATGGAATGTCCATTATGCTTGGCCGAGCTACCAATAGAATTCTTTCCTGTTATCCAATCTTGCCATCATCGCAGTTGCTACGATTGTTTTCAACAATATCTGAAAGTAGAAATCTCTGAATCTAGAGTCAATATTGCTTGCCCTGAGTGTTCAGAACCGCTACATCCGAATGGTGAATATATTATTCTAATTTTACTTGTAAATCTTGTGTTTTTTTTTATAATAGAATGTTATTTCTTATGAGTATTATTCGAATCCTAGAAAATGAAACTTGATTATAGGATTCGATTCGGATTTTTAAGTACATATTTGATCCCATGTGGCTAGTGGCCATATGAAAACCACACTGAAAAAAACAAAAATATGTTTGTAAGCTCTTGACATTCACAATTCTTTATGTTACTTTTTCGTGTATACAGATATTCGGATGATTCTGAATGATCAAACACAATTAGAGAAGTACGAGGATTTTATGGTCCGAAGAGTCCTCGCCGTAGAACCCGACGCAAGATGGTGTCCTGCTCCAGATTGCAGTTTTGCTGTAATCGCCAGCGGTTGCGCTTCGTGTCCAAAATTACGTTGCGAGCGACCTGGTTGTGATTCATACTTTTGCTATCATTGTAAAGCACGTTGGCATCCTAATCAAACGTGCGATGCTGCGAGAGCGCAACGTTCTCAATATTACGAGCGTAGCTCTTCCTTAAGTTTCAGTCAAAGTGATTCACAACATAGTAAGTAATAATCGCACATTACAAAAAGTAATATTTATTAAACATTGATATTATATTATAATTATAATTCGTAATCTGTTTAGGAGATGATATAAAACCGTGTCCGAGATGTCAGGTTCTCATTGTCAAGATGGACGATGGAAGCTGTAATCACATGACGTGTGCAGTTTGTGGCGCGGAGTTTTGTTGGCTTTGCATGAAAGAAATAAGCGATCTTCATTATCTTAGGTATTGTATTTTAAATAAAGCTGTAAATGCATATGCAACATCCAAACAGACATATTTAAACGTTCTTCTGTTCTGCTTGCAGTCCTTCGGGCTGCACTTTTTGGGGTAAAAAGCCGTGGTCTAGAAAGAAAAAGATCCTTTGGCAACTTGGAACTCTGGTGGGAGCACCAATCGGAATCGGTCTCGTAGCTGGTATAGCATTTCCGGCCATGATCATAGGTTAGTTGCGATATTTTAAAAAGTGAATATATATTATGATAATATAAAAATATGTTGCCAGAATGTGGATGTGTAGCAAATATTATAACTAGATTTTTTTTATTTTCGAATTCGAGTACTATTTGTAAAAGATTCGATTCTTTATAAGTACTATTTCGAACCTTGCAGGTACTCAATCTAAAATTCGAACATAACTGTTCTAGATTCGATTACTTCGCAAGTACAATATATGAAATATTATTTCTTATGAGTATATTATTCGAATACTAGAAAATGAAACTTAATTATTGGATTCGATTCGGATTTTTAAGTACATATTGAATTTGATCACATCACTAGTTGCCATATGAAAACCACACTGAAAAAAAGAAAAATATGTTTACAACTACATCACATATAT